TATTTTAAGGGGTCACCACACTAGACCCTGGAAACCCTGGAAGAATCCATTGTTAAATATATCATGGCTTAGCACAATGCATGAACTCAGCTTTTATATTTGCATGTGTTGTGGATTTTTAAGTATTTGAATAGCTTTCTCAGTTGTCAATTATTGATAAAATATACTATGGTAGCAATGTATATCTTTTTCCTGGTGATAGTTCCCTTTCTTCCTCTAGGAGGAAGGGCTATATATAGTCAACGGTCTTATCTTGCATTAGCTTTTTATAGTTTTGGGAGGATTTCACAACTTGTGGTTTATTCAACAAACCAGAGTTGGCATAGAATCCCGAATGGTCAGGCAACAAATCCTTTGTATAGTTATCCAGTCTTTCCTCTTGATAAGAGGCATAGACCAGTAAGTCTCTGTACAGAAAGTTTGACAGGGCTTCCACTGAAGATTCAAGTGATGTACAGTTTTTATGGAAGGCGAAACAGACCTTATGAGTTGTCAAATAAAGGTCCATTCAGCTGCCAAACTTTATTGGGTTTGAAAAAATGCTGGTGCATAAGTGTAAAATGAAGCATTCTATGTCTCCAGTTTTAACTCACAGACAAAGGAGGGGAAATCAAGATGTAAGGTAAGCAAGTCCAGTAGTGGTAGGCAAATGGCTTTAAAATGTGGACTATTTCAATACTGTGTTAATAATCAATGGACAATCATCAACCACTCTCTGCTCAGGCAGAAAAATTTCCAGCACCAGATGGACCGAGGTTTTATTAAAAGACTTCATTTAAGTCTCCACCCATAATTAAATGGTTCAAAGTAAGTGAAATTAAATGTTGTAGACAATCATAAATGTCACTGAGGATTCTAACTCTGGACACAGAGCCTCACAAATCTACTGCACTGTGATTCGTGCAGGTATGTTCTTTCGTTCTGAGAAAATTCAAATGCAAATAAAGCCTTTTCCAAAATAAATTGGGTTTGAAACACATTACAGCCTCCTGAAAAGTCTCTTCTGAGAGCTGAGGGTCCCTCATGATTATGATGCAGTGTGATGTGAGAGTGGAGGCTAACACTGAAAGGCAACAGCATCTTCCATGCTTCCATCTCAACCTATATAGCTGGTGCAACCTAATGTAAAGGATAACCTCTCTTGTCCCAATCTCTGTTCACATGAAATCTTTGGAAATACCTCAAGATTGTTGGTGAATTTGGTGAATCCTGTTTTAGAGAGGATTTTGAAGAAAGACAGTCCTCCTGTTTGGCCCCAAAGGTTTATGGTTTGTTCATACTGAAACATATGTCATATTTTATGTGGAGGATGGGAAGAGCTGTAGCAGAATTCCAAGGCTTGCACTTCAATGAGATTGGATTGGATACTAGCCAGACTTGCTTAGAGGAGACTTTATTTACTGAGTTCATATGTGTTGAGTTCACCCAAAGAACCATGGTATGTCAAAACCTTTATTAGGACCTCGAAGCAGAAATTTCAAACTACAATGGGTAAGTTCCCAGAGATGTAAAGTCAAAACTATGCAAACCTCATTATGGCTTATCATGATGCCTTTGAAATCAGTGGGACAATCAATGATGAAGTTAATCTTACTGATTTATATATCTCTAATCCGTGGAACACTAGCTGCTAAAGAGCAACGTATATCAAAAGCAGTTGATATAGCCTCTTTATCAGATACTTTGCAGGATTAACTACCTTTGGCCTGAAACAAAAAAAGGATCAAAAATACCCTTTTTTATTTTTACATTTGACTTTGCTCTGCATCTTATGTTTGCACATCCACCTGGCGACTCCCTTGCGGTGCTTTCCTTTTTCCTTGAAGCAGAAAGGCCACATCTGCACGTATCTCCTGAACTCTTTTCCAGTCCGACTCAACTTCAGATCTTGTCGCTAAACCCTGGGAATCTTGATAGGCATAAAGAAGTATTGGATGCTTTGCGTTGCTTCCTTGTGCAAAACTCAGTTGTGGTGGAACAGAATTCCCAGTTCATTATGTTGGCTTTGCACATATTCAGGGGTGTCCACGGGGTACAGTAAAAAAAAGGTCAAGATGGCAGCCACGATGGTGTGATCGAAGCAGAGCTGCCATCTTGACTCTTTTCACCATGTCCTGCAGACACCCCTGCATATATTTATCTGCTTTGATGGTCCTGCTTCCATGAAAAGCAACAACAAATTTTGAAAAAAATTAAAACGATAGAGCTTCATTTAGGGGCAGAGGATGTAGAGAGGAATGAAGACCATAACCAGAAAAAGGAGGCTGTGCATCAGGGGGTTAATTTGAATACCACAAAAAAAGCAGTAAAACCTTAGTTATTCAGCACTGGGGAGGGAATGTCATTTCCCTTTCCACTTCAGGTAGCAAAATAAATTCATATGCTTGGCAATTAGTTCATCTGTCAAATGATTGTTCAACTTTTCCTGCTATCCAAAACATAGGCAAGTGGGACTTTTAAAGCAAATCAGTTCAGAATGTGCTTATATTTCTTTTCCTTTTTTTTTTCCTCCCACCATCTTTTTATTGCCTCCATTCCTGCTTTTGTTTGAATGTCTGCTGTTAGCTGTGCTGGAATGGGCACAGATGTCTTAAAGCCTTAATACCACAGGAGTTGTATGATTCCCCAGACAGTTAAGTCCAAAATGTTGGAAATTCTTAATCCTGAGGGAAAGTCTCACTTCTTTTCATAGCACGTTCAGCCCATTTTCAGAAAAAACTGAAAATAACAACAGAAGCTTCTGTTCTGTCTTGTGTACTGCCACCCACCTCATTTGTTTAGAGCAGAGTTTCTCAACCTTGGAAACTTTAAGATGTGTGGACTTCAACTCCCAGAATTCTCCAGCCAGTGCTGCCTGGGGAATTCTGGGAGATGAAGTCCACACATCTTAAAGTTGCCAAGGTTGAGAAACACTGGTTTAGAGTATTGCTTGAGGAGTATATCATGCAGATCAAGATTGGAAAACATGCAGCCTTCCAGATATTGCTGAATTACAACTCCCATCATCTTTCACCATTAGCTATGCTCCTGAGTGTTGTCAGCTGTAGTTCAGCAACTTCTGAAAGGCCCCATATTTCACTGTTTTTACTGTAGGGGAATTATGAAGAGAACAATGTCTAAGTGAAATGGTTATGTCATGCTTTTGTAAATCAATAAGGTACATTATATTTATATATATGAAATTCTGGAAAGTAATTAATACAATACTCACCTGAGTAGTCTGAGAGCAAGTCTATTCTCAGCAACCTTTGTTGTTTTAGCTGTTGTGCATTTGCATAGTTTAATATAACAATGTAAAATATTTATACATATGCCCTTCACATAGGACCATAAAAAGAATATACTTACATTTGTGATGATATCTGCATCACATACATTGACTTTATGCTTTTATGGCATTTGGTTTTCAAAAAATAATTCAAGTTGTCAAATTCTATAGTAATAGTCCAACAGGGGCTTCTCATCAAATGTTATGGAATAGGAAGTGTGGACCAGAGGTGGGAATGTATAATCCAATCATTGCTGTTTCACTACCAAATCCCTCTCAACAATTTCTATTTTATAATGCCTGAAGAGAGATTTCTCAACCCTCACCAATAGGGATTTTCCAGATGTGTTGAACTTAAGCTCCTACAACATGTAGCCAGCATGGTCTTCAATACATTTGGAAAGTACAAGGGTGGTGAAGGGTGGTTCCTGTTATCACAAGTGTGCTCTCTACAGGAAAGGTTCAGTCACAATTTATCACCTTTTTTTAGTGTCCTAGAAGTGAATAGTTCAATGAATGGCACTTTTACAGAAAAGCAATTTACTGTTCTCTAAAAACAACCAAAAAGGTTATATATTATACATGAGACAACCTTTGAAAACAAATTGTTAAAAGAATTTCATAGTTGTGAAGTGAGAGATACTCTGGGCTATATTCAGCCCTTTTCAATTTTGATTAACTTCCTTAGCTTTTTTATGTCAACAAATTTAGTTCATTACCATTAACAGATTCAAGTTGTTATCAGCAGTGATTAATAGATCCAGTAATATGAATTGTATTTACTACAAATCATAGATTTGGGAAATTCTAGAATGTTTTGGATGTGCTATATTTGTGAAATTAAAGATTGCCTTCCTTTCTGAAACATGCTACTGTATTTTTAGGAATCTGACAACTAGACATTTATTGTAAACAAGCTATACCCCATTAATAGTCAACAAACACAACTGGTATCTTCAGTGGTCTGTGACATCCCTAGAAACAAGCAAGGAAGCATAGAAACAATTTTTATGTCAGAAGTTAAAGGCAGGTTTAAGGCAATATATGAACTATTATATTATTATTAATATATTACATTACTTTTCAAATGAGGGGGGAAGATGCTACCCATTCAGAATCCTGCCACCTTTACATAATAGTTATTCTAGAAAAACAAGGCAAATACAAATTGGAAAAATAACTCCCCTTACTGTTTTACAACATATACCTGCTAAGATTCATAGAAAAGAAAAGAAAAGAGAGGAGAGGAGAGGAGAGGAGAGGAGAGGAGAGGAGAGGAGAGGAGAGGA